AAATTATCATGCTATCACGAAAATCATTTAGTCAAATATTCACGTATAAATTTACCTTAGGTAATAATCAGGATCTGGTTATTACAAGTTTTTTAAAATAATTACAATAAGACTTTAATATATATATATAAGTGAAGATAATAAAATTATAATAATAATATAAATAAAAAAAATATTACATAATACATGTCGAGTATACAGGCAGAGTATTAATGTAATTATATAATATAACCTAATTAATATGTATGTATATTAACTAATAACAATAATTAAATATAATATATTATTAAATCGATTTGATATATTATGGATTTTAAAGGACAACACAATTCCCAAACATTCAACACTCTCATAAGGAGATGCCATTAGCACTCCCCTTCTTTAATAAATAAACTATTGTACTTATAAAAGTTGGTTACCTACATGCTTTTAACTAAATAGAAGTTACATTAACCAACTAATAAAAGTTCGAAGGTTTATTTATTTTTAGAAAAAATTCAGGATTTTAATTATTAAAAATGTGAAAATTTAACAGTTTTTTCATTAAAAAAATGATTCAAATACTTAATTATTCAAAAATAGAAAAAGTTTAATGAGTTTTTATTAAAAAATACAATTTAGAAACTAAAACATTAAAAAATAAAAAAATTTATTGGATTTTTTTTTCCAAAATTTAAACTTCGTATTTTAATTATCGTAAAACAGGTTGCTTAGGTATCATGTTGGTGAAAGTTAATCCCCGATGACCAAGTAATTTATTGAAAATAATATTTGGAAAATATTTTATTAAAACAAAAAAAAAATAATAAAAAAATAAAAAATCCGACCTGCCGGATTCGAACCAGCGACCTAAGGATGGCTTTGAGACATTATCACCCACTACAGTCCTCCGCTCTACCAACTGAGCTAAGGTCGGTTTATGTTCCATTTCACCTAAGCGATTCTTTATTCTATGTATGATTTGTCCATTTCAAATGAAATATCGATTAAGGGGAAGTTTACCCAAATGCTTACTCGGGTAAGAGTTGTCACCCTCACTTACCGGGTAAGACTCTCCATCATAATCATCACTCTTACCAGGTAAGATTCTTGGCCCTTGCCATGTTAATCTGGTGAGAAAAATTGCCCGACAAGCACTTACCGGGTAAACGTTTAATAAACGACCCCTTAGACTTTGTATCATTTGGATTGTCTATATTGACAATATTATTAGTTAGATGAGTTACGAAAGTAAAATCCTAAACTTACATTTAAATCGTAGTATAATGGGGAGGGTCTCACCGAAGAAGGCGGATTATCGGTAGTCGGAGTGTGAGGGGAAATAAGACGTATGAACGGTTTTCTGTAAAATAATTAAATACGTAACATTATTTAATTAAAAAATAAGTGAATTATGCTTTTGGTCTTTATAGTGTGTCAAAAATTATGACTAATGTTTTTATACTCCATTAATTACGGATATCGTCTTTTGGTATTTAATTTCTTCTTGTCATGGTCCATCTCACTAACAAAGAAACCGTTTATCAAACACTTACCCAGTAAACACTTGTTGGTAAAATTTAATACTATTAATTACTTACCAGGTAAGATTTTAGTCCACCAAAACGGTATCATATGCAACAATTTACCCGGTAAGCGCTTACCATGGTAAGAGTTGTCGCCTTCACTAACCAGGTAAGACTCTTGGTCCTTGTGTCGCTCTTACCATGAAAAATGGGTTCACCCAACACATTTCTTGCAAACATAGATGGAGATGTATTCTTTCAAGGTTCAACCAGTTAAAGGTGGTCAAAGTCACTCTGTCCAACCAGGTTGATTCCACTAGCACATCACACCCAAATAGGGAGACCAAAGAAAAAGAGGAAGAAGTCAATTGAAGAAATAACTGAAGGAGGAAAGAAGCTTAGGAGAATTGGAAAAACTGTAAGGGTAAACCAATTGATACACAACACATACTTCAATCTTCTATTCTGTTTTTTTGCTGCTACTAGGTTTTCTTTAACCTTGTTCTTAGATTTCAATAAACCAGATTTTATAGTCATTGCTCGAGGAGATAGAGGCCCTTCATACCAGCTAATGAATCCACAACTTGTTCCCTATCAAAATCAAAATCAAAATCAAGGGTTCTAACAGTTACGGTAAACCACAAAAATGTAAAAATGAGAAAATTGTTACCATTCTTGAGCAACAGTAGAACCGTCTTCCTGCATTTGTTATTGTCCATGAAGTTTTAATGATGCTGACATCGAACCATTGTTGGACAGGATTTGTGTTCTTGAAGCAGGTTCGGGAAGAAATCATGTGAGAGAAGGAAGAAAATGAGGTAAAGATTAAAATGAAATGTTGGATATGCATTAAAAAGAGAGGGAAACACCAAAATGACGAAATTGCCCCTCATGTGAGGGGCACGTGCATTCATTAACAGATGGATTTAACAGGATGTTGGTGAGAGGGACTCAATGAGTGAAAAAATGCATTCCAAAGGTACCAAATCTACATTTATTTTGATTTTGGGATCAATGTGTAAAAAGATGTAAACCACGGGGACTAAATCCGTAATTTACTCTTTATTTGCGGATCTTATATGGCCGTTGAAGTTCAAATTTCAAACCATATTCGTTCGGTCTCTCTCCGGTCGAAGGATTTCAACCAAATCGGAATATGAATGTTGATCGGAAGCTAATGGCAACCACCGTCCAAACACCCAAATCCTCCGTAAAATCGTCGTCCACCAGGTGCTTGTCTACCCGTTGCCGGAGAGACGCCAACTGCAAGTGCGATATCTGCATCGCCAGCTTCAATGCGACCCTTGATTTATTGCCCATGAGCGTCCAAAGAAGCTCTCTCACCAGGTTGTCCTCTTCAAAACCATCTCCTCCTCAAACCCCTATTTTCTGCAATCCTTCAACCGACTCCACTCCTGAATCTGAGACTTCTCGTCTGATGGTATCTCCTCCCCTCAATTCAACGCTCCGGACTGATTTTCGTCAGAAGATCAAGAGGAAGAAGATAGAATTTGGAGATAGTGTGATGATGATGAAATGGTTTCTTGTTCTATGCTTGATTTTGATAACGAAATTTGGGTTTTCATTTGTCACTTCTAGAGTCATGAAAGCCAAATTGTCCCTAGAGATAGTAAGAAACCTGAGTGAGAAATCACAGGGGTTTCATGATGTGAATGAACGATTAGAGTTTTTGAATGGCGAACTACAAGATCTTGTTGGAGATGGAGTCCCAGAATCTAGCTCTACAAATCCTAATTGCGAAATAGTTCAGGTACCCCTTGAACCTATGTTCTTCCATACTTAGATATAGGTATGTATGTACGTATATGTTTTGCGTGTGGAAATTTTGTGATTAATGAGGTTTATGTGTTTGTTTAGGATGGTTTGATCCTGAGATCTCGTTGTCAACTCTACAAATCTGGGATGGAAGAAGTGAGTATCTGGGGATGGCCTTTGCAGACTGCTGGATTGCTTACAACTAAATTTGCTTCAAGATCATTCACTATCTTGTCAGGAAGAGTTACAGAGGTAAACTAGTTTCGATTTTTCATTTTCCCTCTTTCTAATTATGGTAAGGTCATTCGATTTGAAATTTAATAATATTTGCTTACGCAATACCCATACTTACATAAATGGCAGTGGTCGAATGGGGAGTTGAGTTGTTTGATACGAAAAGCAAACACTTCCTGGGAACAAGAAAAGTGGAGTGCATCGTTATGGCGTTTAGATGAAAATACTTGGATCCTCGAGTACAAAAGAAGCTTTGTCTTTGATAACGCAAAACCATTTTCGTCAGCAATGGAGTTCTTGAAATTCAGGATGATGAGTGCATTTCAATGGATGAAGCAGTTGTGGAGATTTTCTCTTTGTTTTGTAGATGGTAATCACTTAACTCCTACCTGAGAAGATATTTGTGTTCTCAAAACCAACTAACTTTCTGATATGATATGTTGTGTTTAGTTACTAGTTTCAACTTTCACTTCTTGTTCGGTTCCTTGAATTTAATCAAATGGTATAATGTTAAACCAAACCAAACCAAACCAAACCAAACAAAACAAATGCAATATGTTCCACATGAGACAGGTACTTCTCAGTTCCTTGAATAAAATGAGATGGTACAATGCTAAACCAAACCACACAAACACGGTATATTTCACACAGAGACAGGGGCTTGGAAGATGGTACAATATTGACGATAATTTATGTTATGATAACAAACAGCAACTAAGAATATCATATTATTATTTTACAAGCAGAGTTGAAAGGAGAAAAAGCAACCATACAAACTAAAAACATCAAAAAGAAAAAGAAAAGAAGACTACACAGTAACTAAAGAAAGAGAAGCCATATATATGCCATATGGAAGAAGAAAGATCAGTGCTTGGGGGTGAGACAAGGAAATGAAGGAATGGATTGCAGGATCAACTTCCTGCTGCTTCTTTGTCCAGGGGCAGGTGACAACCCCATTCCCATGCCCGAGTGCGGTGGAGACACCCGCTTGCTATTTGGGGAACAAGACTTGACACCGCTGATAGGGGAACCACCATTCTCTTCCAGAATCTCAGGTATCACATCTTCACCCACTGTCTGCAGTTGCTTATCCGGCTTCCCTCCACCTTTGAAAGGATTTAGCTTTCCAAATCTTTGACTGGATGATGATCCGATCGCAAGAAACGATCGTGGTGGCTTGCCCTTTGAGGGGATTGGCAACTGAATAGATTGCCTAAAGTAAATATATATAATTAGTTATTTTGGGGGGTTTAAGTTCTAACATGATAATCCCTCAGTCCCAGAACAAGTTTCCACATTTCTATTTTAGATTGTCCAAAAATAAGTTTAGTAATTTATTTTGAGATGGAGGGAGTAAAACAACTTTCAGTCATCACTGACATCATGAAATTCCACAGGTGCTATCAACTTTTAAAAAGTATGAACCATAGAAAAATGAACAGCATGTCATGTCTTCTTTTACCTTCCAAAACGTGAAGGTGTTGCAGGAGTAGCAGAAACCGGCTCAGCTTCATTGTGCATCGCCATTTTCTGTAAGCTTCCATCAGTCACATTCCCTTCACAATCATCTACAACATTGACTTCTAGATCCATTTCTGAACCTATAAAAGCAGAGCCACCTGAATTAAATCCAACATGGAACGACCAAACGTCTACTAAGATGCATCAACTTCAACAATACCACACAAATGAAATTTACTTCCATTCGACCAAAACAATGCCTTCACATTTTGAGATGCAAAAAATCAGTCATACTTTGGAAATCCTTCCTACAAATCCTTCCCACTCAAAAACATAATGCAACTTTACTATGTATATTAGAACGACTGAACATCCAGGTTTAGAGAGAAAAAGAAAGAACGGAAGAGAGAGTGTGCGAGAGTTTAGAGCAATAGAATCTATTTCATTTCAGTAATTTGAATGATACAGATCTGTTTACATTAGTATTCATACTTCTGAACAGATTTAGCTCTCACCAATAAAATATGCCACGTGTCATAACACTCGAACAAATATGACTATTCAACTTTTAAAGAAAAAATAAAAAACAATATCAAAAAGTACAACACCATAGAATAGAAAGAGAATTGGTGTTAAAAATGTAGAAAACACATTAGTTTGACCCATGAACAGAGTAGTGACAGTGCTTATAAGTTTACAAAATGCATGCTTACCATCTTTGCGACCAAATGTATTCTTGCACCCTTCGCATCTGCAGTTGATGGAGCATCCAACACCACCCTTTAAAAAGGAACCATGTAACCTATATTAGTCTTTTGCACAACACTAACAGCGCATAAAGTACAGCAAGAGGGAACAACCTGATAGCATTCACAGTATTTCTTCAGGCAACCAGATTTTTTGCAATTGCATCCTCTTTTATGTCGAGCTGAAGCTGGAGTGTTGCTAGATTCATCCTGTATAATGAAAAACAGTCATGATATGCATATATACAGACCCAACATCAAATGGAAACCTGCTAAATGTTACAAACCCTGATAATCATTAACCAGTTTCATAGATGAAACAACAAATGTAAAAACCAACCAAAGTCATCCAATGAGTTTGATTTCAAGCTATGATTCATATTGATTCACATGTAATGATCTTTAGTGTATGAGTGTGTGTTTCATGTATAAACGTATTTTTGTGTTTTTTTCACATGCAAAGCATCCCATGACGTTTCATTTATAAAAACAACACATACAAGATGATTTTAATGCATGATTTCTATCTTTTAGACAGTTTCTATATAATTTGGCGCCCGCGCTATATATGTATGCATGTATAATGAACTTCACGCTCATCCTCTTAACGTGTGAACCAACCTCTTGCATAGAATCAGAGGTTTTGATCACTTTGGGAGCAAACGCAAGAGGGTTGCGGGATTCAATCTGCTTGCGAGTTGCAAGCACTGTATCTTCATGTATTGGTTTGTTGAAACATTCTTGACATGAACATGGCTCCACACAGTAGACACCAGCAGCAAAGCATTCACAGTAACTGAAATAAGTTGTCCAGAAGTCAATATCAGAGTTACAGGTCACTTCAAATGTTGTACATATTTGATAAATGATAAAATCATGAATTAAATAAGTATTTTTGTTAAGAATCTTTTACGGAAAAAACGGAACATTCCAGATAATATATAAAACTCTGAGATGGAAGTTATAGAAATTTTGGTGGGACAGTGAGAATAAGTAATTATGTTCCCCACGAAACACAATCCTTTGGAACGAAATTCTGCTTGAAGAAATCTTATAGTGAGTTATAGAACTTACAGCTTCAAGCACTTTGATTTCTTACAGTTACAACGCTTGCAAGCCTCCGTTTCTCCAGCATGTTCCACTCTACGCCTGCAAATTAAATAAGAATATCAAACACGGAACTAATGAAATAACTAACAAATGCTTAGCGAACTTAAGTGTTACACACCAAGGAAACTATAAGGGTTCCAGTAACTTGCCTTTTCTTTCTTGGACTAGTTTGACTTAATTCTTCATTAACTACAAATCCAAGTGCTTTGGAAGCATCTTCTGCAACAGATGCTCCATGTTGGGCGGTCCCTATGTCCTCCGAAGAGGGTACATCAGTTAGAGGTTCTTGACCAGAATCCATGGAACGATAAGCAGGAGGAGGTCCAATAGTAAGTTGTCTACCAGAGCCCGAGCTTTCATGTTTAACAACTTTGTGATCCACCAAAGTCGAAGCAAGAGCATTTAGATGCAAACCAATTCCAGGTAGAATACATCGAGAGGAATCATTACTAGTCCTCATTGGAAGTAAACGGTTATCATTGGGAAGAACAGTTTCATTGGACTCTGAAACATTTAGAGAACTACCACTAGAGACTTCCTCTAAGTGCTTCCTCCGAGACCCCATCATCTCAAAAACTAGACAGCGTCTTCTCATGCCGCGGTATAAATTTGAACCAACCTATAGATATACAAAAAACTGTTAGATACAAAGCTATCTTTATAAGAATATAAGAGAAATAGACTTCTAATACATAACCGGCAGAAACTAATGCTAATCTTATCAATTCAAGCAAATTATGATATGAATATGTGAGACAGAAGTTTGTCATATATGATCACATGAATGAAATAAAATTTGGACCTATCTTCGAAATCTTACCTCATTATCTGCATCCTCAGCTGTCTCTCCGGCCTCAAAATTGTTTATAGAAGTAGTAGCAAGTGTCGCATAGTTTTCAGCTGCATTCTTCATATCTTCATGCTTTTCTGAAGGATTACCATCAGAAGCTTCTGGTTTTGCAATTGTAAGCGAAGTAGGAAAAGTTGTAGGATCTAAGGTGTTTTGACCAGGGCCCTTATAAGGCACTGTATCACTAGGTGAATCAAAATTAAGCAACTCTGAAGCATCAGAGATCAAACTATCCCAATCGCATCCTGATACTTCTTTACTATGATGGAGTGGATCTATCCCTTCAATCTCTGTTCCGATTCTCAATGGGCAATTTGCAGGACCATTATTAATGAATGGAACAGCTGATGCTGATGGATCATCCAATTTTAATCTATTCATTGTGTCGGGGCTAACAGCTTCATAGCTCAGTTTTCTTGATTCAAGATTTGAGCACCCATGTGATTGCAAAACACAAGTTTCAGAAACAGAATTAGCGGTATCAAAATCCCTTTGCTGCCTTAATGGGTTTTGGGCAGCGTTTAAAATCCCTCCACTGATTTCAGCTTTCTTTGCCTCTTCAGAAGTAAGTTCAGGTTTTGATGGATCAGAAAACTGGTGCCTGAAAAGTGAATTTTTAACATAATAAAAAAGGTATATTAGTGAGAATAAACGAAATGAGTTGAATTTGGTGCAGCATTGATCTTTTATCAACATGCTTAGTCCCATTACCTTCTTAAGAATCTAGAATCTTTGAGAGAACTGACATGAGGTGAAGTGAAAACAGACGGAAGGGATGCAAAACTTAGAGAGCTGAATGTCTGAGTAAAATGCACAGATTTAACAGGCTTGATAGGTGAAAGACTGTTGATATAATTGAAGACGGGCGAGTCCTGCAGGAAAGCAAGAAAAATCTTCATTATGGCATCTAAAAGAACAACTGATGCATTTTCCTGAAAAAGACAATATACCATTGAAACTATTACTGAAGAACAGCATCTACATTTCAAAGAAAGATTTTAGAATAAAAAGAATAGAATCCAGATGCGTTAGCGGACTTATACCACATATAATGCTGTTTAGCCCAAATCTATTTACAAGACCAATACTCTCCGTGTGAAAAATCACTACAAAAGATGAAAATGTGAATGAATGCAGACATAAACACAAAGAGGGTTCAAATAGGTCTCCAAGAAAGATGAATCAGCCACACAGAAGTGATGCATGTAATTCATTCATTTACTTATAAATCAGTCATGCATACAAAAAAACTGATTCAAATTAGGCATTAAATTTAAGAACTGGTAGCAGAGAAACTAGTTTTGTCTAGTCGACACAAGAAGAAGCCAATTCTGGAATTCTTAAACCTAGAAAAACAAAATCAGAAATTAAGCACACAGTTGCTAGAACTTAATCCAGATACTGCATACATCTCTATAGATCTTGGGAACAAAACTTCCCAAGATATCAAAAAGAATAATTGACACCAAAATTTCGTCCTGATTACTAAATTTACACTGAAATTAACAAATAAACCCTAACCCTAAAGAACAAGTAGATCCCTCACAAATGTTGGTCAATCTGCCATAAAACCATACTGAATAAGACGGTAAAGAAGAAACCCATGAAGATCTCAAGTAATTAACATGAAACAAGAAGGGTAAACCAAATTCATCTAATTGATTCTACCCACAAAAGGCTAAATTCCCCCAAACAACAAGAACCCTACTAGAAATCAAGAATCAAACTTGATCTGAGACCAATGGTATGAAAAAAACATGAAATTGAAAACCCCCCCATGAAAAATCGACAGTCAAACCCTAGAAATAGAGTGAAATCTGCACACCAGATTCAGAAACCAACCCATAAGAAAAGAAATCTCCCAATAACACAAGCGAAGAAGCAAATCCCAGAAATATGAACCAATTCACCTCGAATTTAGACAATGGGTTTGCGATTTGAGTTCTCTCTGGTGTATCCATGACAACACCCCTTTCCTTTTCTTGATCTTTCTCCTCACCCATCTTCGACCGACCTTAATTGAGTGTAGGCTGAAGCCTCCTCCCCCTTTCGGCTATCGGCTTTTGTTTGTTTTTTTGTTGGTCTTGTGGCAGAAGTGAAGATGAGATTCAAGAAGAAGCGGGAAGGGCGGGAAGCAAGTTTTTATTTTTTACTTGATGCTGATGAAACGCAGGCCCACGCCAGGCAAGATGTATACATATAGTATATATATATATAGAGAGAGATACACACACACACACAGAGAGTGTTGGTTTTGGTTATAAAAGAAATGTAAATGGTGGTAAAGTAAAAGGTAACGTAAACTAATGATGATTTGCAATAAGGGTTGTCAGAAAAATGAAAATTATTTAACCTTAATTAATTAATCATCCAATTTATGTACTTGTCTTGGTTTTCTTGTTTACTCGTATCTTTATAATCCACTTGGTTTCTTGTGTCCGTCTTCTAATGCATTGACTATTATTAAGCAATATTCTAACCTCATGTTCTTTTTACCTTTTGCTTCAAACACAATTCTCACCATTTACATTTCAGTACTCCTTTTGTTTTTTGATTACTTGTTTTCTTATTTGTCGGGTATATTTATTAAAGATGTTCACAACTATTCGTTTTTTTATTTGTGTTAAAACTTGTCAGTAATGTAATATCTTTGTATAAAAACTTTAACTCTTATTTATATTTTAATGTATAATCTTTTGAATATTTATGGGGGTGTTTGGTTCGTAGACTCTGAATGAATTTGATGGTTAATTGGGTTTTATTGACTAAATTTTATTTTCTTGTTTGATTCATTTTTTTTCATTAAAATAATCTTTAAAATCCTACAAATTTCATAATTTCTTAGGAGTTGCATGGTCTTTTGATGAAATGGACTTCTGTAGTTTTATGATATCAAATATGTCTTTAACTCTATACATCATGATCTCATAAAATCCCATATGACCATCCTCGACCACCTTTGACAACTGTTAAACTGAATCACCACCGATTTGAACAACCGCCAACCACCAACGACTACCACTGATCTGAATCACTATCGGGCACCGCCGACCACCACTCATCTAAACCATCGTCGATCATAACCACCGCCGACTACTACCAATCTGAACCACCACGGGCCACCGCAGATCTGAACCACCGCTTTATCTGAATCATCATGGACCATCATCAATCTGAACCACTGTCGACCACCACCATTTGAACCACCACTGACTACCACCGATCTGAACCACCGTCGACCACCACCGATCTGAACAACCACCAATCTGAACCACCATCGCCCACCCCCGATTTGAGCCACTGTCAATCTGAACCACCTTCGACCACCGTCATTTGAACCACCACAGAACACCATCGATCTGAACCATTGCCGACCATCGCCATTTGAACTACCACAGACCATCACCGATCTGAACCATCGCCGACCACCCCGATCTGAACCACCACGGACCATTGTCATTTGAACCACTGTGGACCGCCATCGATCTGAACCACTACCGACCATCGCCATCTAAACCACCACGGACCACCACCGAATTAGCTATTTTACATGATAAAGAATTGGCTATTTTGAGACAATATCGAGTTAGTAACGGCGTTTGATTTATGGTTATATATGGGTTGTATATTTTATATTATTTTACAAATTAAATAATTGTTTTATTAAAGTATTTTTAGTTTTAAATAAATTTAAAATTTTCAAAAAAAGAACATTTTGGTGATTTAGCAATATTTAATTGCAATTCCAAAGCTATATTCTTTGAACCAATCAGACAGATTCAAATTCCTTAACAGGTTTCATTCCAATACCGGTCAAACAAACATGTGGTCAAATATGATAACTCTCCATTCCAATTTATTCAAAGTTAAATTCTTTTAACAAATTTCATTTCATCCAAAAACATTATATAAACGTTTTATTCTCAAAAACATATAATAAATGATGAGATTCAAATTCAAATTTATGTATTTATTAACCAATATTCAATACTTGATATTGTTTATTTTAATTTATATCTTTTTCTTTTTAATCTTATACCTCTCCTTTGTTTTTTATTTTATCAAAGGATAAAATAGTCATTTTATAGAAATTATTTTCAGAATAATACATCTTTTCACGAACACCCAAACAAAAAAAAAAGACGAAAATTATACAGTGAGAAAGATATTTAACAACTCGTAAAAATGTAATATTCTACTTTATAATTAATTTTATTTTATTTATTATTACAAATAAATAAATTTTACTGATTTATGTGTTGATATTTTGGCTTGTTTTGTTTTGTTTTTATTTAATGATATTTCAAATATTCTAATGGTTTTTGTTTGTTATTGATTTGTCATAATACATAACTTTTGGCATTTTGTTTTCATGTCAAAACTTTTTAACATATGAATTAAATAATATATTCAAGTTTAAATATATATATATATATATATATATATGTGTGTGTGTGTGTGTGTGTGTTAGAGGAAGACTTTGAAATGCAGGTTTCATTGTAGACAAATATTTGGTAAAAAAAGTCAATACCTAACAAGGAAAAATGAGAATAAAGTATGTATACCAACTTATCATACATGTTAACATGGATATTGATTAATTGACTCAAAAACAACCACTAGATCAAATCCATAATCTAAGGATGTCAATCGATACATCGGACTTTAATACGTACAGGATTTCATCCAATTTGGACCGACAAAAATGTTTCATTTAGATGATGCACGATCAAATAGATTGATCAATTGAAACAGGTCATGTATTTGGATCTATCTTGGTCAAATCTACTTAAAGCAATGTTTTAATACTTTGGTCTTATTGACCCAAAAAAGTAGATGAAACAAAAAGGTAATTGAGTCAATTGTAATTGGACGATTAATAAATTGTGACATGTGAATCACGTGACAAGTAGTTTATGGAAGAAAAAAAAAACTAGTGGTTTGAATAGGATTATGCTCTCGTATGGAGTACTTATTAGAGATAAAATAGTATCTAGTGTAAGATCCCACATTGATTGGGGAGGGGGATAATGTTGCCTTATAAGAGACTTAATACCTCATTTATCATATACGTGTTTTAAAACCGTGAGTCTATGTGTGTGGTCAAAGTGGAAATATCTAATGCGGTTAACCTTGGATATTACAAATGGTATAAGAGTCAAGTTTGAGAGATTTAAGTATTTTTTTTCACTACCTAAACTTAAACTTCAGAGGGATGTCTTGTAGAGGGTGTTAGAAAGAGTGAGTATGATAGGGTGAGGACTCTCATGTAAGGTAATTTCAAAATCACATTTGGCCAATGTCATTCTGAATTTACAGGTGCATGTATGTGCTTAAATACCTTGTTAGATTCTCCTTATTGAAATTAATCGTTGTTTGTTATGAATTGCATAATGGATCATGTCGCGGTGCTCGGGAATGACAACATCAATTACCCTCTACTTAAGATCACACCTGAAGAGTTAAATGTACCAGTGGTTGCCTTGGTCAACTGTAGCCGCCATTGGGGACGTGGAATCAGAGACCCATAAGACAAGAGGTCACTTCTCGCACTAGAGCCCATGGACGTAGAAGAGGTCGAGGGTGAGTTCTTGTTGGTAACCTGGAAGTACTTGTTGAGCTGATTGATTCATTCTATGATAGTTTAGCCAGTGTGAGAGGTCGAGGCGACGAATGGGGACGAGGTCAAATGCAAGATCCGATTTATGCCACCCAGGAAGACCTAGCAGTTATAATTGGCAAATTGCAGATACTCTACAAACTTTGTTAGGTCACCATCAAAATACCAAAGCGGGGGAAATGGAAGATAAAAAGGATAACGAATAGATTAAAGTGAATAGACCATTTCGTGCTCAACGGGTTAGACTGGTTATGACAAATTCTCCTGCAGCTACTCCCATACGTTGCAGTTATAAGATGTTCTTATCTTACAAGCCACTGATGTTTTTGGGGCATCAAGATAGAGTCTTAGAAATGACACGGATACAATAGATTGAAGTAATTTTTGACTCAAGCAAGTGTGTGGATAGGAATCGAGTTATTTTTGTAGTAGCTATGTTGAAGTCTGAAGCACTACTTTAGTGGGACATTGTGATAGCTTCCAAGGGCTTGAACATTGTGAAGGGGATGTCTTGAAAGGAACTCAAGATCGAGTTTTTAAAGAGAAATTTTGTCCGAAGGCAACAATGATACAGTTAGAAGAGGAGTTTTTGAGATTGGAACGGGGTAGTATGATGGTTCAAGGATATACATCTAAATTTATGAAAAAAAAAATTATTGTTAAGTTCTACGTGTCGACGGAGACCCGACGAGTAGAGTAATATATTTGGAGTAAAAAACCTCAATTGGAGAGTTATCATGACAATGAACCCCATGAACTTCCAATAAGCAATTAATGTGGCTGAGATAAAAAAAATGAGAATCATCGACAGCTAACAAATAGGGGTAATTACAAAAGAAAATGGGAGGGGCGCCATTTGATTCGAAGATTTGATAGTCGTACGATTCAGAGACAAGGTGACAGACCCTGTACCAAACACAATCGGATTCATCGAGGAGAGTATTTTTTAGAGGTGACGACTTGTTACAAATGTGGAAATCTGGGTCATATTGCAAATGAATGTAGATCATTAAGAGTTTGTTACATCTACAATTCCTCTAACCATTTTAAATTAGATTATTCACAATTGAGGGGAAAGGGGAATACTCGGTACTGGGGAAGTCTAGGGAGTAAAAGAGAAGCCAAGAAGTGGAAATACCTAAATCAAAGGGGTATGTGTTCCAAATGACGACAACGGAGGAAACACTAGATGTGGTGACATGTACAATTTTGATAAATTTAATGTATGGTAGAGTTCTTTTCGATTCTGGTGCAAATCATTCATTTGTGTCTTCTATTTTCACTGGGTTCCTTCGAGCAAAAACCAAGTTGTTGGATCAAACATTGGTGGTTGAGACTGCAGATGATAATCATGTGACTGCAAATGAAGTGTATGATGATTGTATCATAGATGTGGATGGGTTTCTATTCCCTTACAATTATTTCTCATGCCATTGGGGATGGATAGTTAGGATGGATTGGCTAGCTAGAAATCATGAAATATTATTTGCATAAGAAGATGATTCAGATTAAGTTGTCGTAGAAAGGAACAATGGTAATTTACAGGGATCATCGGGAACCGGATTCGTGTGTTGTGAGGATGTTAGGCTCCCAAGGGGGGGGGTAATGTAAGATCCTACATCGATTGGGGAAGGGAACAAATATTGTCTTATAAGGGGCTCGATAATTCCTTTATCAAACGTGTTTTAAAACCATGAGTCTAGGTGTGTGGACAAAAGTAGACAATATATGTTACGATTAGTTTACATCAAGAGACTTTTCCATCATTCTATTGCAATATTAAGCAAAATAGCATAGGGATACATGAGTGTTGAGCCTCATTTAAAAGAAGGTGTTGATGATAAATAACCACTAATAAAACACTTAGTTGATCATGGGTTTAGTTGTCATTGTGCCACATGCGGGGACTATCACTGATGACCTTGTCCCTGACTTGAAGCCTTGCCTTAACGTTGACATCCTACATTCGAAAAGTTATTCTTGACGTTAGAGTACATTCCCTGGAGAAATGTAAACTGTTGATCCTCTCTCTCAGTGATTTGATGATAATCCCTTTTTCTTTTCGATGTATTTCTGTATCTGTAATTTCAGTTCCAGCGATCATACACTGAGCTTGTTCAGTGATCGCT